TCGAACTCACTTTTGATCACTCTTTATGGAAAATATTATGAAAAACTCATTCGCCAATTTTACAAAAAAAAAAAAAAAAGGATCTATCTTAACCGATTCTTTTTTTTTTATCAATTTTATAAATATCAATAATAATTATCACTTCACTAAATATTTTACATATATCTTTATAGTATACATGAACGATTCTTTCGATTACTATTATATTAAAAAATCTTATTTTTTTTAATATTGTATTTTTGTCTATTATAAAACACTTCCTTCTTTGAGGCAATTCCTCAAACGTCGCGGAAGGAAACACGCGAGACAAGTACCACCGCGGAACTGTGGTATCGCGATCTCGAGAAAGGCGCGCGCGCGGCAGAATGCCCGCCTGCCTCCTCGACCACCCACCCCCTTACGGCTCCAACACTGTCGAGTTCGTCGGAGCCGAACAACGCGAGATATATCGAAGGACAGAGCCGTTCTCCGACGCGATCCACCGCGTACAGGTAGGCCGTACGTGACAATCCAGAGAACTGATCGGATTGGCCTTTAAACCATGGGCGAGATTTCCTTTTCGCATCTCTCTCCCTTCCTCTCTCTACACAATTTATCTTTTTTCTCTCTTTTTTCTTTCCATCATTTATTTATTTATGTATATATTATGTTTGTCAGCTTGTCTATTTTACATATTTATCTATTTATCATCTGATTTTTTATTTCTTTCTTTTTCATAATACATCTAAAATATTTGTGAATTGTGTTTATTTTTTATCCGCTTTCTTTCTTTTTCTTTTTTTGAATATATGCTTCTTTTTTTGATTTGATTTGATTTTCCTCTTTAACTTTACGTATTCTTTTATATAATTTATTTAAATATGCAAAATAATTAGAAAATACTTAATAAAATACTTAATTTTAAAAATATATATTCAAAAATTTTTGTTGTTAATTTAAAAAAATTTACTTTCATTGTTTTTGACATGATTGTATTTTTGATTATATAAAACTATTTCTTTTTTAATAATTATTGTCAATATCAACATTAATATTTCTATTATCATTATTATCAAAATATTGTCATTGTTATCATCAGTATTACTATTATACACTGTCATAACTTATTATACCTAGGATCAATATTGACAATATTATTAGCATTATAATACTAGTATCATTTCTATTAGCATCATCATCATCATCGTCATCATTATTATCACTACCAAAATATCAGTTCCATCTAAGTTTCCATTATATCTATTTTTATTATTATTTCTTATATAATTATTATTTCTATTGTTTTCTTTTATATATACTTTTTTTTACGTGCTACATTATTATTAATTAATATTTTTCGATATATTATTTAAAGTGTTTTCTATTATTTAATATAGTAGCAGTATTATAATCTATTTATGTAATTTTTTAAATATATATTTTTTTTAATAAATAATATTCAATAATAGAAATAAATAATAAATATGATTAGAAAAATGAAAAAATTTTCCTTTTAAATTTAAATTTAAATATAATAAACATTTTATACACGTATCTATGTGATAAATTGATATAAAAAAAAATATAATATTCTATCTAAATTTATATAATTGTTCATATTTTTGTGTCATTCCGATTTTTTCCAAATTCTATTTCAAAAAATTCTATTCATTGTTACATATTGATAAAGAATTACTTTAGAAATTGTCTCGTCATGGTTCACGTAAACTTACGTCACAATTGCATCAACCGACGTGAACTCATTGCATCATTTCACTTTCTTTGTTAAATGTAACAAATGTTATTTTATATAAAAAATATTAATATGAAAGTTATATTAAATTATCATTAATTTTTTATCGAAGATAAAAACATATTTTTGTATAGATAGGAAAGTAGAATAAATTACAGGAAAAAGTTAAATTCAATCCACCCGATTAAATTATATATCAATAGCTTACTGTACAAATATTATACTATTTTTAATTTTTTTGAGAAAAAAAAAGGTTTAAAAATTTAATGATATAAGTAAATTTAGATTATATAATGAAAAAAGATATTATTTTTAATAAATTTATAAAGATATAACTTTTAACTAGATTTTTTATGATTTTTTTAGAACATATAGAAGTATTTATTGCATATAAAAATTCAAATTTTAAAAAATAGATATATAATATTTGTATATAGTAAATTATCGATAAATTAAAATAAAAATGTACAAAATCTTATTAAAATCTTTTGTAATTTTAAATTGAGAAAAAGAAAATTTGACTTTTACATGCATTTATAAACATGAATTAATGACAAATTTATGATAAAATTATGTCACTGGATAGATATTTTCATTGATAATAGAGCAGAATATTGATCCATTTTAGATTTAAAAAGAGTATAATAGAATTAAGATTGATTGAAATAAAATATACATATCCATATATATTGAATATTGTATATATAATATGAAAAAAATTTGTTAAATTAACTTTCTCTATAATATTTGTTAAAGTAATTATTTAATAGTATAGCATACTTTTTTTAAATATGAATACTCAGACAATTCTGAAAATATATTTTAAAATTTTGATTAGAAAAATAGAATATATGTATTTATATAGAATATATTTAAATTAAATATAAAAGAAAACAAGAACGAAATAAATAAAAGGAAATATAGAAGAAAATAATTCATAAAATAGAAAAAGATTTTAGAAATAATTTTTTTGAAATATACCAAATGATATTAATTTATATAAGATAATCTTAAATTTTAATTTTTTAATTTTTTATAAAATATTTTATAAATTTTAATTCTTTATAAATCCAATGTTATTTTTAACTGAATATTTTATTAAATTTTACATGCATTCCATTTATTTATGATGTATTTTTTTATGAAAAAATACTTTTTCACAAATGATACTTTATGTAAGTCTTGTTTATAAAGTAGTTTCTTCAAACATTCATTTTCGAAACTCACATAGTGAATCGTTAAGTTGACATAGCTTCTCGTAGCGTGATGACGGTCGTTGTCCCCCATGGTGGATTATATGCGTCGGCAGCTTCATTTCTTTCGACGAACATTAAATTAAATCAAAATCAATTCTACTAGTTCGTTGAAAATTCAAGAAAACTATATTATCAACTAGTAAAAATTTTCCTTGAATAAGAACAATAATAAACGATAAGTTATTGTATACATAAACAATACGTAATCTTGCCTTATTTTTTTTTGTTTTTCGTTAATAAAATTTTTGTACTTATTTTCTTATATTTATTTTTTTTTTCTTAATACTATATTTCCATTTTTTTTATCACTCTTAAATAATTTTGGATAATATTTTTTTTTCTATTATTTATTTTATATATTTCTCATAATTTTATCATTGTTTTAGTGTTGTGCAGTTGAACTTTATTGAACTTTATCACGATTGAGAACAAACCATGATGAGGAGGATGATAGGTTTAATGTCTGTATCCGTACCAGTCAGTACATATGCTTCAATTAATTTTTTCATGCATTTAACTTTAATGTTAGCTAATTGTCTGCTTATAATAATTAGCGAATTGTTAAATCATTTATCAAATAATATAGGATTAAATATCAAGTATGTTTCTAGTATTACTATTATTTTCTCTTTCAATTTAATTTGATATCTTTTTCATCGATGTGCGCGTCTTTATTTTCTCATTTTCAATTATATAGTTTTTAAAATTTTTTTAATTCTTTCTTTAATTCTTTTTTTAATTCTATTCTCTTTTTTCTTTCCATCGTCACCACTCGCATTTTTATTTCTATCACCATTATCACTATTACCACCATCTCTTTCTTTTCCATCGCTACCTCCATTTCCACCTCCACTTCCATCAGTACTACCATCACCATTACCATCACTATTGCCACTACCACTGAATAGTCACCTCCACTAACACTATTTCTATCTTCACTTCTTTCTATTTTATATTTTATTCCTTCTTTTCTTCCTCTTGTTTTCTCTTTTTCATCATGATTCTTTTCCGTCTTTTTTTTCTTACCTTTATTTTTCTTTTAAGTTATTACAAATTCGATAAAAAAGTTTCAATTTCTTTTTAAAACATCAAAATATTCTTTTTTCATATAAAAATTTTCTATTTTTTGTTTTTCGTTTAATTGTATATTTAAATTATATTTAAAAATTAGCTTTATATTTAAAATTTGGCAAAGATAGAGTGATTTTGTTTTTTTCTTTGGCAAAATATGCACAAAGAAATACAAGATCACATGTCAAATATATGTTTTCTCGTTGAAAGTAAAAAAATAATAATTTAGATGAAAACAAACAAATATTAAAATGAATACAATAAGTTAATAAGAAATCTTGCATAAATAGAACACTGTAAAAGAGAGGGGAAAAATATAATAACATACGAAACGACACGCGGCACCAATTTGTCAGCTTCAGACCAAAGAGTAAAGTATCGATGATAGAGTAACCAATCACAGTGAATACTGACTCGGAATCGGACTGGTTGTATAGGGCAGTGAAGCACGCACACGCTTTGCCATCCTTTTCTGTTATAGTTGAGCCCCTCTGTAAGTACGACTGGCACTTAACGCGAATGGACGGTTAAAAGACCCTCCTGTACGAGTCAAGCGGCCACTCGAAACAACTACGATCAGCCTAGGTTCCTCTTACGCTCACCCGTTCATTGCTAACCCCCTCCGTTGATGCCTACTCTGTCACTTCTCTTCCCCTTTCCTCCCTTTCGCTGTCTTTCAGTTGTGCTTCTGCACGCGCGTGCTCATGTTCTGTCACCGCGAATCATATCGAGTCATAACGAAATGGTTTACTCCATTTACTCATAGAAATTATCATGCGATCCGGAAATAAAATTCATTAAGTTTTTCATTTCGATTTTATTCTTTAATATCATTCTGCCTCGATACATCGTTCTATTTCTAAACATAATCAAACATGAACTTTCGAAATAGAATGGATAGAACGAAACTTTTGTATGACTAGATAATGATACTCGATCGTATATGATTATCTTATCATTTTATAATGGAAATCGTAAAATAATAAGTCAAAGATTTGGGACGATTATTATTCTTCTTTCTTTATTCATCACTTATCAAGTTTCTTATGTTGGTTATTAATTTTTGAAATTCTAATGAATAAATAATTAATATATCAAATAGCTATTTTTTGTTAAGCAGTTCTTATTAATCATATTTAAACTCATTAGCAAGAAATTCTATGAAAAATTAAGGTTAGGGAAAGAGGAGAAAAACTGAATGTTGTTTTCTGACAAACAGATCACGATAGGACTATGAGCTATAAATAACTCGGCGACTTCTCTGAAAACGGAAAGTAGCTCGCCTTCGAGTTCCGTAGCAAATTCTCAGAATAGCTTTCTGGATCGGTGTTTGTCCGGTTGTTCGATCGCTTGGTTAGCTACTTGTATTCTTTATGTATTCGCATTTAAGATGCAATTTTCAATTTTAATTATACATACTTTATTTTTAAATCAAATATCAAAATGTTAGTGATAATTTTTTATTAGTTTAATAAATTAATAAATCAAAATTTTTGAATAATTTGCGAATAATTTTCAAATATATAAATAAATAAATCATTTATTTTTAAATAAGATATATTTTTTTTTATTTTAGCAATTGGATTAGTTTTTGTTTCATTTTTTTTATAATTAATTTTTCTTCAGCAATCCATGCTTTTCGAAATTATATGATTCCATATCATTCGATTACATTAACTATCGAAGATGATATTAATGTTAGAGTAATTTAATAACATATATAAATATACATTATAAATTTATTTTTTAATGTTTGCTAAACCGCTATCCGTTTTTATTAAATAAATAATAATATCAGATAAATAATACAAATATTAACATATTTACAGATGTTTTTCCATATTTATAATCATTCATCAGCGAATTTAAAAAGAAATTTTTTTCTTTTTTTTTTAACTATTTTCTGTATTTTCCTTTTTTAATCTATTTTCACTATTTATTATGATTTTATTAATATTATCATAATATAATTTTAATTATCTTAGAAAATTTGATTAGAAAATCTTTATATTAACTTATATTTGTTATTGATAAAACATTATGAGAATTAATGAATAATATTTGTTGAATAGTTAACAATTTATATAAATAATATAAATAATTATATAAATTCAGGATATAACAAGAATAATTATATATAAGAAAATATAAGAAGCTGAAATTCAATTTAAACATTTATAATTCATTAAAAAGCATGCATCTTTTTGATATCTTTTTTTGATATCTTTTTTGATATCTTTCATTAATAATGTTTATGTATTCCTCTCGATCATGTTCAGATGCAATTGATATAAATTAAAGCAAACAATTAGAGAAAGCAAGAGAATATCATTCCTTTCTCAATACATGACATTTGATAAGACAGCTAACAGATGTATATATATGTTTATTTTGTTTCAATTATTATGTTTATATAATCAATTATGTTTCTTAAACGATTATTTATTCGTTGACAACTTTATTGAAATGAAACATCATTTTAACAATTCAAGAACAAAATCGATTTATTAATGTATAATACCCTCGTGAATTTTGATGATTTTTAAATATATATGATGAGATAAGATTTCAAACAATTTTTTCTTATATATATAATTATTAATCAGTTTTAGTTTTCGAAATATTTGCAAAAAATAATGTTACTATTATATTAAATTTTGCCTATATATATATATATATTTATGATAACATGTGCATCGTTATTTATTATATCCAAAATATGAATCACTTGATCTATCATTATCATTTCGATCATTGTAATTTCAACCAAGAATTATTTTATTTTTTATTTTCGCATTTTATAGATCGCAAGAATACCTAATTCATAAATATTAAGTGATTTCCACGGATATCTTACTTCAATATAGTACTAACAAACATTTTTATAAATATTTTGAAAATTTTTGAAAATCGATTATATATATCTATAAGAAAAAATTGTTCAAAATTTTGTTCTTTAAAATATATTTAAATCATTAAAATCCATAAGAATATTAAATATATACATCTATAGAATCATCAAAAATAGTATAAATTTTATACAAAAGATAATCATTGAAAATTTTCTTTTTTAAATTTATTTTTTAACTCTAATTTAGAATAAAAGCAATAAATATTGAAAAAAAAATACAAAAAATTTTAAATCAATTTAATTTGACTATTTTAATTCAATGTAAGTAAAATTTATTCAACTCGACTCGATTCGATTCGATTTAACTCGATTCGATTCGACTCGGACTATATTCTTTCTTGTCCTGTTGCGTTCGGTTCCCTTCCTCCATTCCCTAGTCACGCGATACTCGAGACACTTAGACATACGACACTCGACACTCGACACTGAATACCGAGGACGAATCTAGACCTTAAAGACAATGACAACGTTACAATATAAAATTTTCTCCAAAACCGAAACTTTAGTGTCGATCGAGATAACAATAATTACAACAATGTATTTTCGTAATCGGTATCTCGAAAGACATACCTTGATATGGTCTTCGTTGAATGACAGCAACACCACAACGAACGGAATTCTTCTGATCTGGGTATCGCGATGTTCTGCGTCTAATATACACCTCTCGGCGGGTGTTCGGTGCGCGCGTCCTTCTCTTTCAGAGGGAGGACCCCTTTCTTCACCACCCCTTCAAGTTACTCAGAGAATCGCTGCGTTATCGCTGCCCCCCGGTCTCTTAGCTTCAAGTTACTCCCTCGGCACCATCAGTTACCCACCTAATTGCGAACAGGCAGAAATAGAGCCTGCAATCTTCTTCTTTGCAAATAACAAGTACCTTATGTCTTATTCATCGAGAAACTTTTTTTTTTTTCCATGCTTCCCTTCTTTTTTTCCTCTCTTTCTTTTGCATTTTTTTTATCGTTATTTCATTCCATTACTTCCTTCTTATTATCTTTCATCATCTATCTAACATTTTTTTCGATTTTTTCACTATTTTCATTTAGTTTATTTTCTTTTTTTCCTTTTTTTGTCTTTAAATTATTTTTATTATTTCGATTTATGTTTTTAAGATTGAACATGCGTGATGCAATGTTTCGAATTATATTTCGAAAATCGACGGTAGCAAAAAATATTGTAGGCAACAGTGAAAGAATAAAGACAGTTGATCAACGATAATTTTAGGACGACACGTGGAATGACGAAGAAATTGCCTTAAGTACACGTGTCGTTGAATTTCGCTAAAACCGTGGGTGCCAAGGATGCAGAGAATATCTAACCACTGTAATAGACAAACATATGCTTTATATAAATAACTAAATATAATAGCAAACAAAAAAAAAACTATTATGAAAAAATCTTTTTTAATCTGATCTACTTATAGAATTAATCATTTAATCATTTTATCGATTTTAAATTAATTAAATGATTAAATGATTTCTGTTTCTTATTGTTATATTTTCTTATTGTTATTAAATATAATCTTATTATTATTAAACAACAACAAGATTTTTTTTCATATTTTAAATATACCTTTAAATATTCTTTTTACTATTTCATTATATTTTATTTTTATTTTTTTTAGTCTTGCAAAAAAAAAGTTATAAAAGAAAAATAAACATTAAAAAAAAGATATTATCAATTCTATATTCTAATTTTATATATAGAAAAGTATTTTTATATTGAAAAGACAACATAGAAAAAATGAAAGATACAATGTTTTCATATAATTATTTTATAATTATTTTATAATATTAATTGTAACATATTGAATGCTTATTCATAGTTAATGTCTTATATCATTTATAATGTTTTATAAATTTTATAAATTTTACAATTTTATTGATTTCTTTATAGTTTTAAAATTTGAATATTTGAACATCGAAAAAATTAATCGATGATCATTTCGAATTTGTGATAATTATTCGTTAAGAAAGATCTTAATTATTTAAAAAATATTTACTTTTGAAAAAAATATTAAAGTATCTTTTTGAAAAATGTACATTTGTAAACCAATTTTAATTTTTTATTGTTGGTCTTTTTGATAATCAAATATAAATTGTTTAATTGATAGAAAAAAATGAGAGAAATTTTGAAAATTCACAAAATGAAATAACTTTTTTGTCTTATTATTTTTTATTTTAATTTGTGTTATTTAGATTTGTTATTAAGATTCAAAATCAGAGATTTTGTTAATATTATGACATATAATATACAAGTAATTAATGATATAATAATCATTATTATATAGTTAAGCAGTATTAGTAAGCTAATTCTGTAAAAAAAAATAAATGAATTATATTTTGTAAATATATTATTATATTATTATTTTATAAATATATTATTTTTAAAAATTCTAAATCATCAAAATTAAAAATTAAAACGAATTTTAACATATACCTTATATAATTTTTCTTTTCACATAACAAAATTATTTTAAAATTTATAAATAAGTATTTTTTTATTCTCTCTTTTTATTTCATATGTAAATTTCGATATGATATAATTTATCTTACGAAAAATGAAATGATTTCTCCATTGATCTTTAAAAAATTTCTAAAAAAGGATGTTAGGATTATAAATTATGACTTCAAATGAAATATTAATATTTTAATAAATAAAGTGAATGAAAATTCATATGTGATATATATTAGATATTATTATAGTAATATAATGGTATAATAATATAACTTTTACTTTTTTAAAATATATATTTTTTTATTTCTTTTTAAAATGTAATTGTGTTCTTCTGTTTTTTCAACAATTTAAAGATTTTATCTTTGCAAATCATCAAATTAATCCACTTAAAATCTAATTATCTAAATATCAAAAAAAAAAAGAATCAAATTATACATAAATAGATATGGAAATTTTACATAAAATTTTATAAAAAAATTTAATCTAAGTAAATTTAATTTTAGACTATCAAATTTATCGATAAATCTATAAAAATAAAATCTGAAAGTTATTTTATTTTCAAATTTAAATGAATTTTGTGTATATATTTAGTATAACATATTATATAAAACTTAGTATTTTATTTAGCACATTATTATAATATTTAATATTATCGAAAATATGAAAATATGAAAAATAAAAATAAAATCAAGAATAAAAAATAAAGTCAAATAAATTCGTTATTAATTAAATTTGAATTCATTAGACAAGTTGCTAATGAAGTGAAATGGAAAAACAAAACGGTATTGATGTCATTACTAGTGCAGTTCATATTAACAGTTATACGTTCGGTTATATCAAGAATGGGGGCTTTTTTGTGATGTATCCACACCGTTGGAGATTATTCCGGTTGGTTAACGGTAATGAAAATAAGAATTAAGAATATAGGAAAAACATCGCATATAAGGCGACATTATGGCGCCAAACATTGTAAGGGACAGCAACACTGACCTTCTTTCATTGACGGAAAAATAACTAGGTCTAAATTGAACCAATTGATTATTAAGGATCTGAATCGATGTTGGTCTCGAATAAATGTTATAATATCATCCCTTTCGAACTCTTTTCTATTTTTATCTATCTTTTCATTATCTTTTTCCTTTCTTTTCTTTGTCTTTCATTCTCTTTTCAATTGAATCTAATGTATTTCTATTATTAACAAATTAGATGAATAAATATCAGTTAAATTAAAAAAAATTTGATTAATTGACGTATAAATTTATAAAAATATATATTTTATTTATTAAACATTGAATAATTATAAACTATGATATTATATATATGGTTATATATATAATTTTTTTTATAGAAAAATAAATACATTCTTTCTATAGAATTTTATTTTCTTTGAAATATCAAATGAATTATTGTTAATTATTGAGTAATTGAATATTAAAAACATTGATGTCCAAATTATAATATACTACAATATAATATAATAGCGATAATATATTATATATGATGATTTTTTTAAATTAAAGATAATTAAATAACTCTCTATAAACTCTTCATACATGTGTATTTTTGAATTTTATTAATTGAATTAAAAAAATTGAATAATAATGATATAAGAAAAATATAACGAGTTTTTGTACTTTTCTTTTCTCAGATATATGATAATGATAAAGAAAGTAAAATATGATTTATTTTTTATAATATATTTTTATTTATATTTATATATTTATATATATTATATATATTTATAATTATTTTTTATAATATATCATTAAATTTTTTATTTATTTGATAGAATAACAATAATTTAATATATTTTATAACTATTTTTTAAAATTATTATTTAATTTAAATTGTTTGATAACAAGCATATTATTATACTTATTTATTTTTTTTAATGTAATTATTTTTGTAAAAATAAATTTAATACATGATTTTTATATTTTAATGATATATTTTATATTCTAAAAACTAAATATTAGAATATAAAAAAAATAAACAATTAATATTTATAATTTCTATTTATTAATAGAAATTTTAAAGAAAAAAAGAACAAAATATGTAAAATACAATATATATGATTTATTTTATATCAGAAGATATAAAAGATAAAAAAATTCATTACAAATCAATTAAATTATTTCATTAATCAAATAATTTGATAATTTGTTTAAATATAAAGAATAATATAAACAAATACATAATTTTTATTAATACAATTTTTTTGAATATTTTTTTAAAAATCTTTCAATATATATTATAGTTAAATATCTCATTCAAATAAAGATTTTAAGAAACCTGTTCTATCTGTTATTAATTCTATTTCTTTTCTGCTTCTAATTTCAGCATCTGTGTCTCTCTGTTTTATTACAGGTGGTATGAAAGAACTATTTCTATTTTGTTGCACTTGATGTAATTTTCTACTTCTATCAACATTGTGTGAGAAAAAGTTTACTTCTCGCTTTGCCTGTGCAATTTCAGTTTGTAATCTTTGTTTATGTACTGCTTGTTCATATGCTAAACGTTCACTCAAATGAATCCATTTAAATCTAATAAAAATGATATGTATATATTAATACAAATGCATTTTTTATGCAATGTAAACTGTAATTACAATTTAAAAATAAATTATTATTTATTTATACCTTGGAAGATATTTTATATTCCACATAACATCATAAAATTTGCTTCTTTTTCTAGTTGAGATTTGTGTATTATTCAATGTAGATGCAATATATTTTGCTATTTTCTTACTTTCAAATTCAACCCATCCTTCAGTAAAAAACTTTGTATGAATTTTTTTTCGTTTTTTTGTTTTACCATCTTGTTCCAATCCTGCATAAAAAAGATACTTATACATATTAAATATTAATCAATGAAAAATATCGCGATTATTATTAAATGAATGAATGTATGTATTCTTTTAAAAAAAATGTTTTAAAAAAATATGAAATAGAGGTTATGTTTATGTGGAATAAAACTTTTTATATATATTTCACATATCACATATAAAAATTAACCATTTTCTGCTAATTGAAGATAGATTCTTCCAACTTCTCCATATATCGAAAATAATTCACGAATTTTCGAAATATTCATATATTTAGGTATGTTAGATAAATATACAATTCCTCGTTTTCGTTTTTTTATTTTCGATCCATCAAGTTTTATAATTTTTGTACATTTAGTATTTTCCATTTTCGATATTTTATATATAACTATATATTCATTTCCATCTTCGTTCTTATTTGTAATAAAGTTATTTAGTTTTAATCGAACAAACTCTTCTTATATACTCCCTCTTACGGAAAAACTTTAACTGTATGACACGAAATGTTAAAATGTATATACAATATTGATTATTATTATTATATTTTATTTTACTTTTTTCTTTTATTTTTAAATTTTATTTTTCCATTTTATCATATTTATAAATATTATATTATAATATTCAATCCACTTTATACAATATATAAAATAATATATAAAAATTTATTTTGTATTATTTATTTAATTCATGTGTAGAAATAAATCTAGAAATAAATATTATTTCGAATTTGTTATTTATTTTCACATATATACTAATTATATTAAAATCAATATAAAAAATTTATTAAGATTTATCAAAAAAGTAAAAAAAATTTATAGAAATATATAATATAATTTATAACTTCATAACTTCAAATTTATTTATAATATCATTTAAAAATATAATATTAAAAGGTATAAATAAATATAATTAAATATATCATATTTCATTGAAAATTTAAATAAAAATGTTATTCAAAGACATTTAATAACATAGAAACTATTTTAAGATATTACAAATATTTAATTGAGATTCGTAAAAATTAAATATTATCAGTTATAATTCAAGAAGGTGTTTTTAACGCGCTATAGCGCTACTGCTTTACTCTTCTCGTTGTTGCGCAACGAGAAGTGCGCAGCGTCTCAGTGTGTGCAGAAAGGTAGAAGTGCGTTCGTAACATCATGTATCGTTGAAAAAAGTCTCATTTTTTCGCTAGTTACGTTATTTTTGCGAAAGTTACATAAAAAAAGTCTCATACAAAGAGCTTTATTGTGAAATAACTTAATAACAACGAAACAACGACGGATGACCGAAAACTTTTGGGAAACGTTACTTGGCTAACTCAAACAAAATGGCGACTATCCTTTTCTTGGCGGTACTGTTTACTTGACCATGAACATTATGTTTCTTTCAAAGTGTGACATTAAAGATGTTGTGTATTTAATTTCTTTATTATTAATTAATATCAATTTAATTTGATATTCTTTAAAAAAACGTGTAATATTTATCATCTTTAAAATTTTTATAATTGTGTATCATAAAGCGTAGAATAGATAATAACGTGACAAACGTGAACGACACGATACTGTGTATCGCAATTTTTAATTATTTGTTATTTTACTTTTTCTTAATTTTTCGTGATTTCTTTGATATATATCTTAAAAAATTTGTTGTATTCAACTTATTTTGATGTTACCCGACTTATACTGCACATCCAAATTTAATTTCCATCTAACCAGGAACGCGGCTGATAATCGGAATTCTTGTTTATTCCTTCTGATATTCTCGATGCTTGTTCGAATGTTACTTCTCCCTTTGAAGGGCATATATAATCTTTCTTTCTTCTGGACACGATTCATTTGTGAGACAATTGCGACGCAATTGCTGTTTTTGACAAGATAACTTCATTGAAAGCAAATAGTGCAACATTTCTATTATTTAAAAAAAATGTCTAGCTCGTTTATTATTGAACCACAAGAGAGTGGATTAGAAAAGAAAGATGATACATTGATTATCATTGTTAATGATGATGGTACAATATCTGTTGATCAAGAAACTTTGCAGAGTTTAATCAGTAAGTTTATATTATAAACTCATTTGGGATTATTGGTTTTAAATATTAATTATTTTATTTTATAATTTATTATATTATCTTTTAGTGAATCAATCCAATGCAAATGTTAGTGTTGTTAGAATAGGACAAGCAGAAACAGATACAGAAAATGGAGATATCACATTAACTGTTGATCCTCCAATGTTTACATCTACTGCAATAAATTCTGGTACATCTACTGATACAAATAGTTTGGTTGACCCTTTCATGGAAATGGATCCAGAACAATTGGAACGATTAGAGACAGCTTTGCAAAGTGAAGAGGCAAAACAAATTTTAGGAGAAAATGTTACAGCAATGCTTGGTATTATTAGTTTTATTTTATTTTATTTTATTTTATTTTATTTTATTTTATTTTAATTCTTTGCACTTGAAAACTCTGCTATGAAACTCTTAGGTATAAAAATTATAAATTATGCAAATTGAATTATTTTCATTTCATCATGTATGTAATTGATTCAAATAATTAAATAATAATTAATTTGATAATTGATAATAATTTTTAAATAATTTAATTTTTAATTGAATAATTTTTTGATCATGTTTTTTAGATATGTTAACAGTGGAAGAACAACAAAACTCTATAAGATATAGTGTTAAATTAGATCATTGCTATACAAGTAGATTATCTCCTTCTGATCCAAAGCCAAGAGATCCATTACCTGTTATTGATTCACCTACTTCTGATGATGGTTTACAATATGGGCGTCAACATTCACCTGCTCCTGGAACATCCAAAATGTCATCGCCTATTGGCGATACTGAAAATACAGTCACAATAAAATCAAAAGCTATTGTAAAAACTGTAAGTTTAATATGACTAAATTTTTATAATTTAGCAATAAAAATTGAATGAATTCATCATTGTATTATTTATTCCAGGGTAAACCAGTTGGTAGACCACGAAAAAATTTTCCTGCAACATCTACTTCTCTTTCTAATAATTCAAAATCAATCAACGTAACAAGCACGCCTAAATCTGTTGGACATCCAATTTCAAGAAATTTAACAGGTGTAATGCAACAAGGAATTGGAAAAAGTAATCATACTATAGCATTAAATTTATTAATTTATATAAAATTAACATTATGATACTTTTTCAATTAGATCAAGGAAAATCTAATGATGAGGATGATGAAGAGTTAATGTCATCAACTGAATCATCAGATTCAGAACCACCATCTGATAATGATTCAGATTTTGGTCCAAGAGGTCCTAGAAGAGGTGGTGTAAGAGCTAGAGGTGGTAGAAAAGGACTTACTACTAGAGGAGGAAGTATGATAGCTACACGTAGAAGAGGTCCTAATAAACAAATGGATATGGAACAAGTTCGTCGGTTAGATATGGAAATGGCTGCAGCTGTGAATGCTATGAAGAGTCCTGAAAAAGATGAAAAGTCAGGTATAAGAAGTAATTATTTTTTTTTATTTATTTTTTCATTTTTATTAATATAAAATGTATTCATGATAAATTGAAAACAATTTTATTTTTTCTTTTCCTAGGAGGATTTGGTCTCATTAGGGGTAAAAGACAGCTTAAAAGTACTATTGCCCGGAAAAAAGAGGAATCGCAACATGTTGAATCATCTTCAATAATGAATGAAGATATTTCAGTTAATTTTGACAAACCATTGCAAACGACGAATCAAGTTAAAGCGAATTTGATTAATGCTAATATGATTAAAGGTGATATGATTCTTACAAAACCTGGACAAGGAAGAACTAATCAAAAAGTTACTTTTGTACAAAAGCAAGTGCTTATGAAGCCAAATGATCTTAAAAATATTGACATAAAGAAACAGATGATTCTTCCCAAAGGAAAATATTTGAATCAAACTGGAACGAAATTTTTTGCAACCAAAGATGGTAAATTAGTTCAAATACCTGTCACTGCTAAAAATATAACATCAAATGTATCAGTTACTCAAATGAAAGGAACAATACCGCAAATATCGTCAGCACAACAATCTACAATGATACAGAATCAAACATCAAATATGCAACATCAGCAATCAGCAAAAATAACATCGCCTGGTACTATTTCAAAAATAAAATCTTGTGATCTGAAGAAAGAGAAAAGAAAACTTGATGGTTCAGAAATTGTTATGAAAACAGAAATAGATTCTGGTAAAGCATCAGAGAATAAGATTTTTGATGGTTAATAATTTTTTTTTTATAATATTTTATTATACATAATTACTTTATGTATGATATTATAAATATATAAAAAATATCGATTTATTTTTAGGCACGAAAAAACATCCAAAAAAAGAAAATCGCAAATCGCCAGCATATATGGTAGATAATCTAGGTCCTGCATTGTTTTCCACTCCAGATATTATTCGTCGTGTCGGTTCGAATAATGATTCGAAAATTCAAGAAAATGCAGTGACATCATTGATTTCTACGACATCATCTACAGTTGTTGTTTCTTCTGGAAGTGGAAATTCTCTTACACATGTAACACATTTATCATCAACACCTTCACCATCAACATCGTCTATAGCATCAAATCGTGCCGGTTTGTATATATACATATTTATGCATACTTTAAAAAATTTGTATACATTGAAATTATCATTTAAAATTTATAATCAAAGGTACTGTTTCTACGTCTTCCGATCGAGTTATAAATTCTGAAACTTCAATTGCTATAGAAAAACGAGAAAATGGTGATTGTTTGGTACAAAATCACGAAGTGGAATCTAAATCAAGTATAAAATCTAATGTCTCGGAAGAGTTACAGCCAAACTTGGATTCGAGTAATTACTTCTAAAGATATTGGAAATTATTGAATTTCTTATACTTATTGAAATATATATTGAATTCATTTTTAGGTGGTATAGAAGGTGAAGAACATTTACTAGCTACATTAGAAATGGAAGCTAGTAAACATGAAGAAGAATTACTAGCTGAAGCATTATTATTACAAGAAGAACTTGGAGTCGACTTAGCTGAACATGTATTAAAATTTTTATTTTTATTAATATTAATATATTATTTATTTATTATTTTAAAGAGCATAGAATTAAAAATTTAAATCATGTTTATTTTCTTTCCATTTTTAACTTTTTTTTTTAATTTTCTAATTTTATAGACTACACTTGTTGAACAAGGAGGGAGTGTTGTGCCTGAATCGTTAACGTCAAATAGTATGCTTATTCCTTCTTTGATTACATCTGAAGCACAAGAAGGTGCTAAGTCATTAGATGCTTCTACGGCAATAATTGTAACATCAACTATATCGAGCACAACAGTAGCTGGAATAACAACTAGTGCAAATACAAACACATCTAAAGAAATAGGAAAAAAGTCAAAAGATGATAAAGAACCCATTCAAATTATTCGTGGTGGTCGAGTAATTACATTACCTCCTATTGAAGCACCAGCTACTAGGAGCAGACGATTACAAGTTAAAACAGAACC